GTAATACGCAAAGATGTATGTTGCTCCGAAATCCCTCTTATTGTCGCATCATAATCCCGAATGAGCTCATCTCGAGTTTGGAATTGCTTCCCCTTGTTTGGGGCTTTAATGCGCTGGATTCCGTCCATATCCGGCGGTGACATATCAGGGCTATATGAGGGGTGGTCAAGTTCCTCCCATCTTTTATCTTGCAGAAACTCCCTAACCAAGCGATGTTTATGAGGTTTCGCGTTGTCATGCAAGATTATAGGAAGCCAAAATTTTTTTTGTAATTTCTGGTAACACTCGACGTTCTAGGAAGTTAAGGTATGCGACGTGATCTACAATAACACCATCGGCTAAAATCTCGTAGGTTAGCACCTGCTTCTTCCACAATGCCACCATCATCATGCATTTCCACTTTCGTAATTCTGACTTAAGTATTTTAGGTCTAGAATGTATAGGAGAGAAATGCGGTTAAATTAAAATTGCAAATTTTTAATTTAAAAAATTATTTTTACTCACGGTTTTTGTTCAGGGAGTAACCATTTACTAGTCTGTCGCGGATCTTGAGGATCGTAGGATTTGAGCCAGGTCTCGTCATTCGCGATGATCTTATCGAGAAAACCTCTTTTACGTTGATAACGAGCTAATAGTATTCCTGCTATATTCCTACGTGATTGTTGTCTCTTAGTCAATTCGTGAGGTATCCACCTAGACCTTAATTTCTTTGCCTTAATGTCTTTGAGCACGTTCATTAAGCTAGAATGTGACATTTGTGTCTCATACATCAAGTCATCCGTTCTCATTCCCTCACTCTCTAGAATGAATTGCCGAACCATTTCTTTATTTTCTTCACTTGTTACAACTGGCGTTCTTCCTGGTTTGGGTAAATCGCTGACCTCTGTTTTCCTTCCTTGTTTGAACTTACCATACCAAAAGTATACTTGTGATCTGGCTAAATGGGTTTGTGGGAGGGCAGTTTGTAATTTGGCAAAAACTATACTTGTTGCCGTATCCAACAATACACTTATCTTTATAAAGGACCTCTGCTGTTCATGGGTGACACTATCCCGAAGTTGGTCCATTTGCAAAAGTGAGTGCCAACACGACACAAAGAAACGCAATTCTTATGATATTCATTGCGTGCATACTACTAACCCTTATGAACAGTTATCATACTTACCTGATTATATAAACTTGAAAACAAATGAAGGACGACGTTATCTAATCTGTCCGGACATATCCTGGCGCATGTAATAATTGTTTAATATTTAATATTATGGCTTCCGCTTTAAAAGATTATAAAATTTGTGATAAAATACCCGAAGATTTAAAACAAAAAATCAAATTCTATTTTGTTTTCGATGACTGGAAGGGATATAACATACTGTTTGTGACATTTGATGATATGGTGTATGGCTTGGGATCTAATAGCTCGGGTCAGCTCGGGTTAGGACACAACACACCCATTGAGACACCGGTAGAAGTGCCTGAATTATGCCATCAAAATATACATCAGTTTATGAATGGATATGACTTCGTATTGGCTGTCAATACGGATAATAATGTGATATTCAGTTTTGGTCACAATAGTGAGGGACAATTGGGACGGCGTGTGGACAGTAAAGTACGTACTGTATTAAGTTATATCAGTAAAATCTCATAAGACTTAAATTTATGTCACAAGCCTGGTACTATTTCATTCTTCCAATTAAATGAATTAAATATTCAACAATTAAGTTGTGGTGATTATCACACAATTGTGTTAACAACTGATGGACGCCTATTTGGATGGGGTCAAAATAAACGAGGGCAAATTAATGGTGGCAATAGTCGTTACATTTTAGTTGGGAACATCGTGTCCTGTCAGTAAATTGTGCAATTAGAATGTGTATTAAAACAAACTATATGTCCCGATCGACAAATTGAATTAATCAAAATCGGCGAATATCATGAGCTAGTCCCGTAAATCCAGTTATAAACATACTGACATAGTGATTTTACACATAAAAATAACATTATTTCTATGGACGGAACTTCATGAACACTCTAACGGCAATGAACCGTCAAATTACAAACAAAGTGTCGTTAGGTTTACAGAAAATATTTGCGTATAAATTCATATTTAAAGGTACTAAATATAATGTTATAGAAATAATGTTATTTTTATGTGTAAAATCAGTATGTCTATAACTGGATTTACGGGACTAGCTCATGATATTCGCCGATTTTGATCAATTCAATTTGTCGTTAGGGACATATAGTTTGTTTTAATACACATTCTAATTGCACAATTTACTGACAGGACACGATGTTCCCCACTTAGAGCCAATTCCTATTGAATTGTCTGACTATCAAATTAGTAAAGTTATGTGCAGTCGATGGACATCAGTTGCCATTACCAGTGATGGACACGTGTTCATATGGGGAGAGATCGGGTTTAGAACTTTAAAACGCCCGCAACTATCGGACAATGTATTTAATATAAACAGTGTTTGCTTAGATAAGAGTCAATTTATTTACTTTCTATCAAACAATGGATTCATATATTTCTATGATTTTGGTGACAAATGTATGAATAGATTAAAACATATTGTATTCAATGAACTCAAACAAATAGATTCGTATAACGAGTTTCTTACAACAAGCGTATTTGTGGGCAAATCTGGTCATAAAATATATGAAATTTCTTGTCAACAACCCATTGAAACCAATTATACATCATTTGATGATTACTTTTCACGTAAATTGCAAATCACTTTCAATACAATGTCAACACATAATCAACAAAATACTGTCCAAGACCAATTGAATGAAAACACAGACATATGCGGTAAATAAGGAATTCAATTTTTCGTATTTATTATATTCATAGAAATAAATATTAGTGTATACCGCAGTAGTATTAATTATATACTGTAGTTTTTACAATAATCATTACGATATAAACTTCTCACTCTTAGAAAATGTAACGTTAGAGTCATTTGATGAAATTGATAAACTTGGTGAGGGTGGCTTTGGACAGGTGTTCAAAGTTAAAAACAAATGTGACAAACGTTCATATGCAATTAAGAAATGTCCACTAAATGGTAATTAATTAATTTTATATCTGATATACAAATTATAGAGTAATTATTTTTATTTGTTTCAAAAGGTTTGACAGAAAAAGAGAAACAAAATGTTTTGAATGAAACTCAAAGTCTTGTGAAACTTCGGTCAGAGTTTGTCATTCAATACTACTATTCATGGATTGATAAGAAAGACAATTGTCTTAACATTCAAATGGAATTATGTTTCGATAATTTGACAAATGTTTTGGAAAATATGAAATCATTGGTTAAAGAAATGAATATTACTCAGTTTTATATATTCTATCATATATTTCGTGAACTCACAGAATGTGTGCAATATTTGCATCAAAAGAATATCATTCATAGAGACCTCAA